ATCGGCAAATCGGGGAGGTCAAATGGAAGGTTCAGTGGAACAAGGAAACAGATAATTTGGAAGCCATGCTAGGATTGCTAGATAAGGAAATTCAGCGTTCTTGCGAGGTCATGCTGATGGCATTAACAGGCCACGTGTCTCCTCGGTTGTTGACTGATGCTGTGGTGAGAGAGGTTCTACAAACATTAGGTAATTCGCTGGGAGCATTCTTTGGAGCTGTGATTATGGATTTCGCCAAAATGGAATTGGGTATATATGGTGATGAGTTAATCTTCACTATTACACCCCATAAACCCCAAACAGTCAAGTAGAAGTTGATTGGGGTAGTATCAACTCCGTTGCTACCAGACAAGGGATTCATTGCATTAAGGGCTTTACCAAATCACATAGCTCAAACTGACTCTGAGGTTTTAGAGTTTAGTAATGGAATGCTTGAAGGTACACGAAGTAAAGTGAATTTATGTTGTGCCCCAGAGCTTTAACATCACCGACCAGTGTGACTGAGTCATTTGGAAAGACTTCCCAAGAGAAGTAAGGTTATTCCAAAATAATGCAAGACAGAATGGGGGAAAGGCTTCATGCTAATCTTTAAGGTCTATAATGATCTAGGTGATCTTCCGTATTCAGTTAACAGAACTACACCGGCATTGTTAAAATGTTCAAGCGGTAGTAGGTGTACTGTAGAGCTAGAGTTTATGATCAATTTACTCAATTTAATTGCTCTATAAATGGCCTTGTGAAGGCAATTGCCTCCGTGGACCAAGAAAATGCCGTTCTGCATGGTCGGACAGATCATCATTAAGTCACTCAGATTATCTCATCAGCTGCTGCAATCTTGGAGCATATTTTGATTATTATTATCCTTAACTTTACCTTATACCTCTGGAGGAAGTTAAGGAATGAGAGAGAAAAGAAGTTATCATTGTCAAGGGCGATTGGTTGGCCTAGCTCTGCAACCTCTCATCGTATGCACATAGACCTATGGGGCCTATGTAAACTCTGACAACATCCTAATAAGACTGATTGGTGGACCTGTAATTTCTGAGGGGGCACGCGATTACCTAGCCCTTTTTGAGGTGTTGATGTACTACATCTCACCACCACATTTTGACCATCCATTTCAGCTTTTACTTCGACAGATGAGGAACTCCTATTGGTATCGAAAGAGCCACGAAAGACATTCCACTCTTGTTGTGGCTTCTTATGAAAATACGACCGATATATAAATATAGGTTTATGGAAAGAGTAACATAACTCTGTATGTGAGTGTATACATATTTTGTATATATATATATATTTGATATATATATATATATATATATATATAAAAATATATATATATATATATATATATATATATATATATATATATATATATACATATATATATGTATTATATATATATATATATATATATATATATATATATATATATATATATATATATATATATATATATATATATATATATACATTATATATATATATATATATATAATGTATATATATATATATATATATATATATACATATATATATATATAATATATATACATATATATATATATAATATATATATGTATATATATATATATATATATATATATATATATATATATATATATATATATATATATATATATATATATTATATATATATTACATATATATATATATATATATATATATATATATATATATATATATATATATATATATATATATATATATATTATATATATATATATATATATATATATATATATATATATATATATATATATATATTATACATATATTATATATATATATATATATATATATATATATATATATATATATATATATATATATATATATGTATATATATATATACATACTGTGAGTTTACTTGTTTAATTGTTTTTACACATAGATGGCTACACTTGTACTTGTACTGCCTGTCTCGCCTGTTTACCCTTTTCTTTAACTTACGAAAATATTTTACATTATCTTATTTTGCTGTTACTAATGTTTATAACATTATAGTAATTATAATGTTTATAATAAAAATAACCGTCGATATTCATAGCACTAGTAAAAATACATTTTCCCGCCAATTCAAGTAAAGGTGAAATCAGGTAAGGCAGAGCCATCTAGTTTCACATTTCACAAAAAATATATAAAAAATGAGCACAGCATTTTCCCCATTTTTTGTTCATTTTTACCCGTCATGAATGGGTTAACAATAAAATGGAGCACATTCACGGCTTTACATACATGCAACCATTGTTTGAATTTGTATATTTTATATATTAAGTTATACAGGAAATATCACAAGATAACTTCTCACATATTTCAGTCACTCAAAAATAAAATAATTAATTTTGAATAAAATATTATTTCAGACCCATTGCCTGATTTCAAAGCAGTGTAGATTCACTGCTCTAAGGACAACATATAAGACAAAAAACATTTCACTTTTTATTAATCCAAAACATAGTAACAGTATTTACACTATTTACAACTGTGCAGGTAAAATTATATTAAGTAAAAGGAAGAAGAAGAAAAAAAAAAATAACACACATGACTATAACAACCGACACAGACAAGACATTTTACTTAGTATCAGTTATTTCATTTTCTTCCATTTTTCTTATCATACATCCAGTATCTTTAATAGAAATAACATTAATTAATAAATTCATAATGATCTGTAAACCACAAAAAAATCTAATCAACAATTTCAAAAGAATTCTATATAGCTGATTATGTTGCTTTTAAATATAAAACAAATTGGTCATTATATTCAGAACAATTTTTATAAGAACAATAACATCAACAAGTTAGACTTTTTTTGCAACAAATTAACAAAATTATAATCATTTTCACTAAACTATAATAATTTAATCACTCCTATATCTTTAAGCACTTTCTTCATAACATCAATGGCAAGTCAATTGGAATTCTACATCATCAAATAATATTAAATAAATTTCACAAAAAAAAAACAAAAAAACATCAATGCATATGGAGTCATTATCAACATCTTGTCAACGTCTAGTCTTAAAACCATCCAACCTTCTGACCATTAATCTTCTTGAATTTCTTTTGATTGAGTTTATCAAAAATAAGGAGGCCTGATGCTCTTTCAATAGTTTCTAGAGGAACCTGAAAGGGGTAAAAACAAGATTTTAAAATTCTTAATGTTAAAAATAAATTCTTATTTGCATTTCTTCCTACATTCTGAATAAAATGCTCGTATGATTCCCTTGCCCAAATAAATGACAAGAGTATAAACTTTCAAACTGCAAATATCTGTTAGAGCATTGAAAACCCAGAGATTAAATCTTAATAGAGTCAGAATACACTTGTAATGAGAACAGAACCCTGCGAGGAATATGTGTTGAAAAATCTTCAGCCGAACTTAACAAAGAACAAACCATAAGGGAAATGTGAGGAGAGGGTATAACTAGAAAGTCCTTCTTGAATATGTCAAAATAATTTTGTATGCTGGGAGGATGAACAGTCCCACATAACTTGCAGATATTCTTAAAAAAAAAAAAGCCAGCTACAGCCATTAAATTATAAATGCAATCACTTACAATATCAATTTTATTAAATTACCATTTCTCCTATGCTATGCATATCAGAGTACTATAAATGAGACACATTATCTTCTTGATCTATCTATAAGGTTATGCATGCCTGTAGGCCAGCATGAAGACTATGTTTAGTCTATTCACAGACATTCTAATCTACACTATTAATAAAAGTTGTAGTCTCACATCAGTGCAATAACCGGATCTCGACACACATCCTGCCCTCAATATGAAGACCAATTATCAATTTGCAGAACTATCAATTCTATGTGAAATACATTTTTCATCAGTGAAACTAAAACTGACACTCAGTGGTGAAATCCCTTAACACTTTATTTAGTCTCTTTTATAGTAAATTGTATAAATCTAAAAACCAATACAATAAACATGATTTCCACTTCGAGAAAGCAACCTCTTCAACATCTTACCAATCTCATATAATTGTTATTTCCCATTATTCAAAGGCAAGATACCAGCTGAACTTGACCTGCATAACATATAAATAGCACTAATAATTCCCTTACTATTTACCAGTTTATTAACAAAGAAAAACTTATTCTGCTTACGTGGAATGATGCAATAGGTACACTATCGTCAATCTCCACATTTGGTAGCAGGAAGCACTCCAGGTCCAGTTCTCCTGTATTGCTTTCACAAACAACTACCTAAAAGAAAAAAATTGTGCTTGAAAGGAGAATATTATAGTTCTGTTATGTTCAGACAAGTACATGAGAGTGATACAAAGATATAAATATTTGCTTTTATAGCCACTACTTCTGGAATTATATGTACACAAATTATTACGTGTAAACACATATTGTAGAAAGAAGCCAATATGAATAAATTACCTTTAAAACAACTGCTTCTTAAATACCACATATATAGAAATACATAAAATCAAATATAAATTAATACTGTTAACCCATTGCCGCCGGGGATGGCATGTACGTACATGCGATGCCCACTGTGAGTCGACTTGTTCGATTGTTTTTACACATAGATGGCTACACTTGTACTAAGTATCCAACGAGCCAATTACGAGTACTGGCTGTCTTGCCCGTTCACCCTTTTCATTGATTTACAAAAATATTTAACGTTATCTTAATTTGATGTTAAAAATAACACCATCTATATTTATAGCACTAATAAGAATATGTTGTTTCCCGCCAATTCAAGGAAAGGTGAAATCAGGACTAGCAGAGCCATATATGTTCAGACATATTTCACAAAAATATAAAAAATGAGTACTGTATTTCCCCCATTTTCTGTTCCTTTTCCCCGGCGGCAATGGGTTAAAGGAAATCATCTCTAACCTTAAATTACTTGAATATAAACAGTTGTCAAAAACTACGAATATACTCTTCTTCTCTAAGGTACCAGAAATTTGTAATGTTATCATAAGTGAAAATTACTACAAAACTATTAAACACTACTATCAGTCCTTGCTAAGATCATATATATGCCTTTCAGAAACATAAGCTAGGTACTTCCAGCCCAAAAAAGAAAAAAGGTAAGGGTGCATAAAACTGTGCAAGCTACAATACCTTAAAGAAATAAATTGGGACGGAAAAATACACACGTCTTACTTTATAGAAATGGGTTGGGACTGAAACGTGATTCTGGCCAATCACTTGATACTTGACGTAAAGCTTGCCGTCCTCTTCACGTCTAAAAGGAAATAAGGGTTATTGCAATTTTCTCTTCTAAAAAACAGACATTAAAATAAGAGCTTACATATTTTGCAAAAGTCAAAAAGTGAGAGAATATGAAAGAAAGGTTCCATTTGATTTATATTAAGGACAGAAGAGATCATGTCCTTACTTTTTTGCAAGTGAGTTAATTCGTTCACAGATTTTGAAATGAAATTGAGTATATTGTGAAAATATCCTACAAAGAAAAAACAAAGTTATATATGACCAGGGCAATTCAGTTGTGACAAATGGAACCATTACACAACATTCACAAATCAAACACCTGTCGACTCTCTTACATACATTTATTATGCTGAACCTAGCAAAATGAACCATGAGAAAAATCAAAATCTAAAGTAATTTACCAGTAAACCTACCTTGGCAAGAACAGGGGTCCAGTACATACATAAACATTGGCATAACTCTTTGTCAACTGTCGACAATACTGCTCCACGTCATTCCACTTGTCCCGGTTAAACCCTCTTCCTACCTGCAAAGAACCTTTATATTTAATGCAAAATATCATCTTGAAACATACTGTATCCATGTACAAGTTAACAAAATGCAATATCATATAAGTTGTTCATCATGAACAACTGTAAATAATTTGCATATCTACTTCATGTAGATAAAATTATTGTATTGGAAAAGTAAGAAATATTAATAAACAAAGCCAAAGACAGGTCTGATAAGGAAACATAGTTTAATACTGAAAACCGATATTTGTAAAGCAATAAACTATACGGTTTGGGAGGGGGGGAAAAAAATGAAAAAAATGAAAAAAAAGAAAAGAAAAATAAAGAAAAAAAAATCTTATTTTCTTCCTATAAAGTCTTAATCCCTCAGGGATGAAATGAAGCAATTCCTGTATTTATGTAAGCTGGATACAGAGGATAATATGGGCAAGTGATCTATAAGAAAAAAGCTTATTAAAAATACCCTAATTTGGAGAATCTGGGCTGAAATAATCATTACTGAAACCTGTCCCATTGTCTATGAACATATAATTGAACTTTGTCATCAATCAGGAGTTTAAATGATGTTGAAAAACCAACATTATCCATTTTTCTTTAAGTAATTTCTATTCCCTTGGCTTGTTTTAACCCTTGTTTTTCCTTAAGCCTTCCAAAACCAATGCTTCTAAACTATTTGTGAAAAAATCATTAGTTGTTAGAATACTACTTTTTGTTCTAAGGTGCTTACAGTGCAATCCTTGATCTGTTCATCTGTGACATACGGGTGACATTGAGACTACTGTTTAGAAAGGAATGGATGAGAATTAATAACTCTTTTTGTATTAACAGTAAATCATGTTTAATATCATCAAGGTGGAAGATAAGAAAAATTCTGAAGGCTTTTCATCTATTTTGACCGGCATTACTAAGTGATATTTTGAAAAAAGCTGACCTGCTGACCTATTCACATTTTGACAAAGATCCTATAACTTCCCTTTCTTTTGGTAGTGCAAGCAACTTTTTTTTATGAAGTTATCCCTCACACACCCTTGTTGCTAATCGTAAAATTTTTGCCTCAAGACCTGTCATAATAATCTACTCAGTCATCCTGCAACACATTTGTTAAAAGATGCGGATGAGGAATACCTATCCACTCCTTATGTTAGTCAAAAGAGTAAGGAGATATCATGCCTGTTCCCAATAATGCTTTTACAGTAAAATTGATGTTCTTGCTAGCACATGTTATGTGATCATGTCTATGCTGTTGTTTTTTCTTGTTTAAGTATGAGAGCAGTATTACCTTCTTTCCTTTTTCATTCTTGGGTTTTAACATCTCTCTACAAATACCAAAGTTCCTAAGTGTCCTGCTCACTTTACCTGTGTTTTCATCTTTCTCGCTTCAGTAAGGACAGGGGGGTAGAAGGTACCTAGATCAGTTCTATCACAAGAGGATAACACATCACCTGAAGAATCGACCTGGAAGAATTTCTTAAAGTACAGAATGTTGCATTTACACAGGTTTTCATTTCTGTAATAACCTCTTACTGTGGCAACAGAGCTAGAAAGGTAACCTGTTCAAAAACTAGTGTGTTGTCCTTTTACCTGTGGTGACATATTAGAAAGGAGGAAGGTTTCATCGCAATCCTCCTGGGATCGGCGATGATTACCAGCTGCAGCTAAATGTCCTCGATCAAAACCACTCCCTTTGTAATCACGATTTTCAGCTCTTATAAAAGGAAGAGATAAGAAATGAGGATAAATGAGGCAGACTGCAGAGTCTATATGTATATCATTTTATATATATATATATATATATATATATATATATATATATATATATATATATATATATATATATATATATATATATATATATATATATCAGCTTTATCAAATTGTCACAGCTAACATATTGTTAAAGTATAATATACAAAATTACACAATCTAACAGACTGTTGTCTATGGTAATGTAACTACCAAAACAATAGAAAATCTTACTTTCAAAAGCTTACAAAAATATCCTTCACCACCTTTACCTCTCATAACAGTTCTCCTCCTAAACCTCACCTATCACCTATCCCTTCGCATTCCCCTTCCCCCTTTCCCTCTCATTCTCCCTCCATTTCTACTGCCTCTTGCCCACTTTACCTCTGATGCCCTCTCTCTTTCCTGCCCTCTCTCCCTCCCCTGCTCCTTCTTTGCCCTTTCCCCATTTACTGCTTTTTTCATGCCTCTCCTTCTCCTGCTCCTTTCCTGCTTCCCTCCCCCTCTTGCCATGTTCTCTTTCTCTTCCCTATCCTGTTCCCCCCTTTCCTGTTCCTCTCCTGACCCTTTCCCCCTCCTGCTCCTCTCTCATTTCTTCTTCATGCCCTCTTCTTCTACTCCTGATCCTTCTATTTATCCTGCCCTCTCTCCCTCTCCACCCATCCCTCACCTTCCTTTTCTACTTTCCTTGCCCTCTCTCCCTTTCATGTGCCCTCTCTCTTCCCCATGCCCTCTCTCTCTTGACTGCCCTGTTTCCTTCTCTAGCCCACTCTCCTACCCACTCATCATTCTTTCCTCTCTCCTTTTCTTGTCCTTTCTCCTCCTCCTACCCTCTCACCTCCTCCTTTCCTACCTTCTATTCCTGTTAATTCCCCCTCTCTTGCATTCTCTCCCTCTCCTGTCTATAATCACATTCTTGCCCTCTCTACTCTCTCTCTTTCCCTCTTTTCTCTCTCTCTCTCTCTCTCTAACTCTTTCTCTCTCTCTAACTCTTTCTCTCTCTCTAACTCTTTCTCTCTCTCTCTCTCTCTCTCTCTCTCTCTCTCTCTCTCTCTCTCTCTCTCTCTCTCTCTCTCTCTCTCTCTCTCTCTCTCTCTCTCTCTCTTTATGCAGGCTACCTGAAGTACTGATGAACTGAAGCATCTTCGTGAAAGTTACACTTGGCTCGGTCAACATTGGGATTCTTGGCTACACTTTCTGCTGTCAGGTGTTCACAGACCCAGTATGGGATGCGATTTCTTGTATCGTATGACAAAACAAAGTCATTCAGTGATCTTACATTTGATAAACTTGGAAAACCAAATCGCATGATCTGAAAAAAATATATTTATTTATATACACTGAAAGGACAACATTGAGTTAAACAATGTCACATATTCTGTGATCCTACAATTCGATATTTACATTTAACATTTCAATTCATAATGTAAATATCACATAACAAGCAGTAAAATGAATGAAAAGTATAATGAAATTTCATATACAGAACAATTTAAAAATCATCTGATCATCTTACAAACTTTAAACACTTTTATTACAAGGATAGACTAATTTTCCATTCCATTTACAATTACCTGTGCTATCCGTGGAGCATTTGGAGCTGGCAAAGGGACAACATCTGGTACTTGTGTGTTAATAACGCTGCCTTGATGACTAGCTGCTGAGACGGTCTCAATGCCTGGGATGCCAACCCTCACTTTCTCATGCGATTTATTATAGCCTAAGAGCCAGCCTATACTTGTAGCTGTTCCTATGACAGCAACTTGCGATATTTTACGAAATAGCACCGACATTGTTTAAAAAAAATAATGCACCTGAAAGGTAATTGCATAATATTAGTCTTCATATTTCAAGATTTTCTACTGATGTTTCTTCAGCTAACAGGAGCCTTTTACTGTGAAAGTTTTGCCCATGACAATTACAGTGACCATGAAGTATACCATGCATATTACATGGAAGAGATGATAACAATCATTATTTTCAGCAGAAAAAGTTCTCTGCTATGTCGAACTCAGTTCTTTTATCTATGAAGTGTGGGAAAAAAAAAAAATAATAATTATGTAATTACCTAGAACGGGACACAAGATCTAGAAATATAGATGACACTGCTTTATAAAATACCAAAAATGATAATCACTTCATAAACTGGTGTAGACACATTACAGAAAACAAATTAGATCACTCAAAAAAAAAAAAAAAAAAAAAAAAAAAAAAAAAAAAAATCTAATACTACAATAAAAACCTTATCATGTATAGCTACTAGTCATTATCTCTTAAATCAAGCCAGTCTATACTCACGCCGGAGGTACGCCAATAGCCCATTGAGTGTACGCCAACGTTCCCGATAAGAGTAATTTTTTATATAGTATGACACCAAGTGCAATCATATTGTCTCAAAAAACTCCAAGACACAGCGGCACTTTTGAAAACTATGGAAGTGATAAAAAATCAGCCGCAGGGAGTGTAAGGGGGGGGTGGGGTGCGTTGTAAAAGAAAAAATTCAAACGACTATTTATAAGTGCATTGCGTTCAACTTAAAAGCTTGAAAAAACAGTAAAGATAAAAAAAAGCATGCACCGGGATTTTTCCATCTCATTACGGAAAAATACGCAGGAAGGAACATAATTTAAGAATATAATTTAGCCTAACTCCACCCCGGAGATCTCTGGGCCTAAGTGCATGAGATGCACCCTGGTCATTGACGAGATATGATGACCACCTCCATCGACAATCTTGATTTGATAGTCCCGACTGCAGGGGAGGGCATGAAGTATATCAGGGATATTATGGGGTGAAACAGGACCCCCGTGGTTGTTAAACAAAACGTCCTAACCCAACACCCGACCTAGCCTAACCTAAGACCGTGATACATATTCCTTAGCCTGAGGACTCTGCCTCTTGGACCCCTGCCGTAGTATATACACCTTGCCAAGAGGCTACTCCCCCTGGACCCCTGTGGTAATATATATGCCTAGCCAGGGAGCTGTTCCCACTGGGCCCCTATAGTAATATATAGGCCTAGGCAGGGGACGACATCCTCTTGAGCGACTTTGCCTAAACTGGGGACCTTCTCATCCCTTATCAAGCACATACCGACTCTCCCATGATCCCCCTAAGTCCCAATGACACATAATTCCTTAATTAACATCCAAATTACCTTAAATTTAAGTCGGATCAACAAAGACACGTGAAATCCCAGGAGCTCACGTCCCTCCGATTGCTATAGAAGGCGATCTGACTATTAGAGGAACTGGGAGATAAAAGGATGATTAAATAAAATTAAAAGAAGGGAGAGAGAAATTGATAAACGATGTGCAAATGAATGAGGAGGGAAGTAAGCTAAAGAAAGTGGGAGATAAGTAAAAAAAAAAAAAAAAAAAAAAAAAAAAAAAGAAAGAAAGAAAGGGAATAAGATAGAATGAAAGGGTATAAAGTGCCGCTTGTCTTATAAATATTATTTTAGAATATATATATATTCTTTTGTTTGTTAATATGTAGACTAATTAGTGAGTAATTAGTGTAGAATCATTATATTAATATCTCTAACAAGACCTTAAAAAATACGATGTTCCTTTACAAAAAACTATTCTTTTAAATAATCAATCATAATATCATTACACTCAATTGATTATCTATATATTTCTGGCTGGATGTTATATGTAATATCATAATTATCTACTAATGTTTTAAAAATATGCTAGTGTATTTATGTTCTGAATTTAGGATATACATCAATAATTATGTAAGGAAAATGATAGTATGGAAAGAGAATTATCATACTGGTACTGCTAATAAAGGAATAAATAAGAAAATAATAAAAAATACATCACCGGTAACACTAATTGTCTAATGACAATGACACTAATAACATTAATGATAATAAAACACACGAAAAAACAAATTTTTCCAGAAATAAAATAGTTACCGCTAAATATTCTCCATTTTCCACAACGTCAATGAAGACAATGCTATTCCACACCAAAATCTTCTTGGAAAAAAAAGGCAAAACGAGTAAGATAATTTGATAAATAGAAGGAGAAAATATATTCTGGGGATATAGACTATACAAAAAGTCTATAACTCTATAAAAAAAGAAGAAAGAAAGAAGAAGAAAGAAGATAATGTCATTCAAACACGTGGCTATTACGGGACCTCCTGGTAATTATATTATTAATTGTCATGCATTAATAACCTGAGATGTTGATTTTAAGAGATAATTATGTAAGATAATTATGTTTTAACTTGAATATTTTACTTATAGAAATGTTCACTACCAAGACTAATCAGTTACATAAGCTTCTTATTCATACTTATCTCTTATCTTCTTATTCATATTTATATAGCTTTTTTACTTATAGAATTCTCTGATTTTCTCTCATGTTTTACCCCATAATGTGAAAAATAGTCTAAAAATATATATATTGATATATCTCTGGAATAGAAATTGCAGAAGTTACAACGGTGTTTGTAGTATTGTTAATGATAGTGTTGTTATTTTATTTTATTTTTTATTTTTTGGATAGTTATGATAATGAATAGATTAATGAAACAGATAAACAACAAAAGGGATGATAAATAAAGGAGAACCACAAGAAAATGCCCTGTCCTTTTGTGCTCCAGCAAAGGCCATTAACCCCTTCCCCTTTGCCCCTAAATATTTGGCAAGATAGCTTACAATTGTTCAGTATGTATTGATGAATTATAGTATTTAATGATGAATTATAGATGAATTATATTATTATAGCATTTAATGATGAATTATATGATTATAGCATTTAATGATGAATTATAGATGAATTATATTATATAGTATTTAATGATGAATTATTATATTATTATAGCATTTAATGATGAATTATATGATTATAGCATTTAATGATGAATTATAGATGAATTATATTATATAGTATTTAATGATGAATTATATGATTATAGCATTTAATGATGAATTATAGATGAATTATAGGTGTAGAAGCTCTATTTTTTTCTGGATTACAGAGAGTGGAGCTTTTCTGGCCTTTTATATGACATTTGTTGGGGGTTGGGCACTATTTGATATCTGTTTGTGCCATTATGCAAATTATTTTATTAAGATGAGTGTCATTATGGCATTTTTTGTTAGTTGGCGTTGAATCAATTTGCAGACCTGTTAAGACTATTGATATATATATATATATAGTCTATTCATTCTAGATCAGGGGTTCCTAATCTGAGGGCCAGTGGGTATTTTCCGGAGGGGCACAGAGCAGTATGAAAATTATGTCATGGAATTAAACTTTTGCTTATCTCCCTACAGTACCTACGTATAACTATCTCTCACATATTAATTAATTGGAATCTTTCTATAATGTGTCATTGTCCTATTGACATCATTACGCTATTCATAACTAGAAATAACTGAATCTGAAAAGATGACAGACATTGAATGGGGCCATGGAGATAATTATATAATGATAGATATATGGAGATAATTATATAATGGAGATAATTATGTAATGGTCGGGGGCCACAGAATGAAAAGGCTAGGAACCACTGGTCTAGATAATATAGGAGGTCCCTTCATAGTCAGTAATTGAAGATAATATTGGACTGTTTGATTAATATTTTTTTTTTTCTCGAGCTTACATTTTTCATAGATTTATAATTATGTGTCTTATACATTAATAGAAGCATATTTGATCAGAGAATTTTGGTTATAGTCATATTTGTTATTTCACAGGCTGGCAAAGCTGTGTGTTGATTGGTAATCAAATGTAAATTTTGGGTTATAGTATCTGCATTTTCTTGAGTTTATTTTTTCTCAACGCATAGTTACTTTTCACATAGACTTTATTAATCACACTATAACTAACTTTCAGAACACTACCTAGGTTTTACCATTGTTTTTGCTTTATTTCTGCATTACCATGGCAATCATGATAGTTTTCCATCTTGAAAGCCTTACTTTATTCTTACTGATTTAATTTTTTAAAAAGTACATTGCAGTGTAGAAAGGTCACATATTATTTCAGAGAAGTAAAAAAAGTTAAGTACTAATACTGTACTACTCAAAGTACTGAGCACTAGATCAGTACCGAGCCATTTTTACATAAAAGAGTAAATTAAAATAAGTAAACAGTCAGAGATTTCATAAGGTAATGTAAGCATAAGAGCAATCAGTTGTATGTGTTAATGAGTCTTGAGCCTTGAGAGAACAGTATTAGATACAATGGAAGATAATTTTAGGATTGTTTCTTGGCACTGTATGCAATGCTAATTATCATATGCATGGGTTTGAAAAATATATATTTATACTATATTATATTTTGAAGAATATCTTAAGAGTTGATAGTGAGTTAGAAGAGTTAGACAGTGATATCTGTGAAGTAGTAGGAAGATTATATAACTTTTTCAGTATTTAATATGCTTCAATCTTCCCAATTTTTTCCTTCTATTACAGGTGTTGGAAAAACAACACTAGTGCAGAAGATAGTGAAGAACTTAAAAGATGCTGGTGTACCATGTAGTGGATTCTATACCCAGGAAGTCCGAGAGGGAGGCAAAAGGATCGGTTTTGACGTGGTGACTCTGGACGGCAAGCATGGGATACTCTCCAGGGTTAAGTAAGTTATTATGAATGGAATACGAAGAGAATGATATTGTAGATTCGGTGAAAAAAGGAGAGTTTGTAGATTCAGTACAAGGAGCGTGTGGTTTTAGGCTCAAGTAGAGTACTAGGAACACTTGATTGACTCTGTAATATGTCTGGGGATATAGTTTTAAATTTCATATTCTGTTTTTGAGAAGTTTTGTTGAGTTTTACATTGTTCTTATCCTTTCTTGATAAAAAAAATATCTTTGTTTGTTTGTTGAATATATGGTAATGAAAGAATAATGCAATGAAGAATTTATTATGCTTGTATGTGTCATACAGTAATTTCCTCTGCATCTGAAGTGAATATTACTCAAAACTTAACCTTTTTTTGTAACTCCATTTATATAATTAAGATGACAGGCATATTTTTGGTGGATACTTATAAATATATATAGATGTAAATGTAGATGTATTATTCTTCATATTTCAAATAATCATAGATTCACTACCTGTACCTGGCTAGTTTTCTTAGAATTACAATAAAACAAACATGGAAAGGAAGTTTGGATTATGGTTATTATTTTCTTTGAATATCTGGCATTTTTGCACTTTTTTTTTCTTTTTTTTCAGTGAGAGTTTTTGTTTCATTATGCTTTTTTGTGAAGCTTTCTAGGGTTAATGCAATATTCTTTCTAGTATTCATGGAAAAAATGTGACATTTTTTATTCTTTGGCATGTAACATATACTAATATCAACATGAATTGGTTCTTGGAGACATACACAATTATGTTTTCATAAAGTGTCCGTATGTATTTTTATTATTTAGAAGAGTGACGCAAAGCTAATTCACAGACCACAGGATGGCAGTAGAAGGGAATGCAGAGTCGGCCAGTATGTGGTCGACGTCCCAGCATTTGAATCTCTCGTTCTGCCTCTTCTGCGAACTCAGGTCTGTGGATGTTAACTTCAGATTTTTTGTGATATATTAAAGGAAGGATAGTACAAGTGGTAGTGTTGAATAAATATATATGCCTTCATAGTTTAATTTTTTTTTGTAATTGTTTGATAATACTTTTAATATGTCAACCTGGAAAATATATAGACTTACTTACTTTTTTTTCTTTCTTTTTTTTACAGCCTTCTAGCCCACAAGTCCTAGTATTGGATGAAATAGGAAAGATGGAAATGTTCAGCCAAGGATTTGTAACAGGTGTACAGAGGATTCTTGCTCAACCTGATGCAACAGTTCTCACAACAATACCAATTCCGAAAGGAAAACCAATTCGTTTGGTTGAGCAAATAAGAAACGGCAAGAATGTCTTCCTAGTAAATGTGAGTATGAATGAAAAATGAGACCATCATTTCATTGTGGTACAGTTTTAACATTCATAGTCAGGTATCTTGTCTGATATATTTTATAATTGAATTCTTATTATCACATTTTTGATGTGCAAGTAGACTAGAATATAAGGTGCATAAGCCATGTAATAAGAGTGGCTTGCTTTGTGCTTGAAAATCGCATCGCATTGTCAATCACCTGTTTGCAAAACATAAAAGCCATAGAAAGCTTGATTAGGAAGCTTTCAAGATTTCAAGAAATAATGAAAGCTTACCTATATGAGAAAAGATGAAAATTAGTTATCCAAGCTTATTTTTATATTATATAAAGTATTTAATGGTATATAAGATGAACATTTTCAGCAAGAAATGTTTTTTCCAGTAAGTCTGACATACAGAGTTGCAACATTTTTTATCCCTGAATATATAATGGGAGCTTTTAATATAAATGTTGTTTCTTTGCAGCTTTCAAAGGCAAACAGGGATGATGAGAGTCTCAAGGAGGAGATTATAAAAACGCTGATTTCATCGTTGGGGAAGTGATATTTGGAACTTTTACCATGTTAACGTATTATATTAAGGCCTCTGAGTGAAATAGAAAAGTAAACTCGTGATGAAGTCATAAAAAGAAGATATATGTTATCTTAACAATTAATATTGTTTTATTATCCTTCATGATTTGGTATGAAATACTGATATTTTATATTTATTATTAAACATATGTGTGGGTGTGCCCATGTGTGCATCAAAACACATTTAAAATAGACTTTAGAAAATAATACCTGCTATACCTTACAATTCCCAAAGACTGAGAAAATCTTACCACACAATTAGTTGATCAAATAGGAAGGGAATTTTAAAACTTGAGATCAAATAAAGGTGCCAAACCAGATGAAATATATATATATAGCTCTGTGAATGTATGTATGTCTGCATGCATGTCCCCAATCCCATACTCATTGTTGTTGTAGGGGAGGTTAGGACATGGAGACTGAGGCTCCACATCATCCTTTCCTCAGTCCAAAGGAATTCTGCAAGGCAGTGTGTTCAACACCACCTTATTCCTTCGTGCTGTTAATGACATTGTCTCAGTTCTACTACCAGGGGCCCAGTCATTGCTATGTGTTGATGATTTAGCCATCTTTACCTCTGGCACATCCATACCAGCTCTCTGCCAGTTCCTTCAGTCTGCAATATCATCAGTATCTTCCTGGACCACTAACCATGGCTTTTGCTTTTCTACCTCCAACTCTTTCTCTTTCATGTAGGTCCCCAACCTCCACTCTTTGTATATGACACTCCACTCCAATACCGTTCTTCTGGCAAATTCTTTGGCATTATTTTTAACTCCAAATTGTCTTGGCAACTCCCGTAATCCCTTGCCCGTTGTTGCTGTGGGGGACTTACGAGGTGAAGATTGGGGAACTCCCCTGCCTCAGTTCTCGACTCAACTAATTTTGCATGGTCTTTTTTCCCCTCTTGCTTTTTTGTTTCTATCCCTTCCCCAACCCTTCTACTATCCACTTCCTAAGGTGTGAGAGCCATGCTGAAAGGATGAGAGGCTAACTTTGTGCCAGTCCTGAACGGCTAGAGAGAGCCATTGGCACGGCATTCCCTTGCTTTAGTTGCCTAGCCCTTACCTCTGAAAGGTGGACTGTTTCTCTCCCCATCATACTCCAGGCTTACCATGGCCAATAATGATGTTGTTACATCGTTATTAGGGGCAATGAGGCTTGCCCCTTCATCAAATAGCTCTACCAATTCAAACACTCCCGATCCCAGGCTCTCCTTTGACCACGGTTCCGAACGACTACTACTACCCTCTCCTCAATGCCTACATTGTGGGGTCCGTAATACAACACTCAATTGGTTTAAAAGTTATATGACAAGCCGTATGCAGAGTGTAAAACTGAATAAGGGCTTTTCATCACAATGTAAAACCTTGTGCGGTATTCCGCAAGGTTCAATTTTAGGCCCATTACTTTTTATATTATACATTAATGATATTGTCTATTCAACCCATGACTCCTCCCTATTCATGAGCCATCATAATCTCACAACCCTCATTAACACACTGAACAGTGAACTTGCACAAG